ATAGAGGAGTTTAAGAGCTCTTCTTTCAAAACATTTTCAATGTGGAATCAAAATGATCCCACATCATTTACAAAGGGGAGCCACCATTGTCTTCTTCATATTTTTTTTTTTAATTTTAAATTTATTTTGTATATAGTTTTGTTTGGATTATTACATTTGCTGTTGTTGTTATTATTATTATTATTATTATGTTATTGTTATTGTTATTGTTATTATTTTAATTTTAATTTTATTTTATTATTATTACATTATTACATAGGATTTTTATTATACTTGAACAATAATATTATCAATTATATTATAGAATATAATACCATACATAATGTTACTAATTATGCAATATTACCAATTAATAGATTTTATTTAATTTCCATTTGACATTTACTTACCAAATAAACTTTACTACAAAAGTTTGGGCAGGAAAATGAAATAAGATGATTTTGTTGTTTTTTTTTTTTTTTTTTTTTTTTTGAAAAGCGATGATTTTGTTTTTATATAATAATAATAATAATAATAATAATAATAATATAATATATAATATATATATATAGGTTAATTATTACCCTAATACTTAATTTATAATTCTGATTTTAAAATTCTTCTTATTATTATTAACATTAACATTTGATTAGTTTTATAAAAAAAAATGTAAATTCTAAATTTTGTATGAATAAACTCTAATCCGACGCATTTCCTTATATGATTGTATAATTCATTGTATATACACATAATATTTATTAATATGTATATAGAAAAGTTCTATAATATAATTTCATTAACTATAATTTATATTGATAAATTTATAATTAAAAAATTACATTTAAAAATTTAAAAAGTTGTATTTAAATTTTGCATGATTATTATAGTGCATAAGTGTATGTATGATTATAAATATTCATGTTTTGTTAATTTAATAATTTCATTTCTTTAATTATATTTCATATTTTATTAATTGTAATTTAATGAAATTGTTACAAATATTTCTAGGGAAGAAATCTTATATTTCTCAATTTCTTTAAATATATTAATTATAATTACCAAATATTGTGGCAATTACCATAATAATTTTATTAATTATATTACTTATATTAATTATAATATTTGTAATAATCTCTTCCAAAATTTAAATACATTACCATAATAATCACACAAAATAATGAAAGAAAAATTATCAAAATAATTACCTTTAATAAAAATAAGGTAATTATATTAAAAATTAATTATATATTAAGGTAAGTATAATTTATTTCATGCCAATAATATTATACATTAAGTATAAAAATATATATGTATATAAATTACCATAATAATTACACCAAAAAGGTAACAATATATAATTATTAGGTAATAATATTAATAATTAATTATTAAGGTAAGTATAATTTATTAAAGAGGGGATATAATTTAAAAAGTAAATTATTTATTAGATTACCTAATATAATTATTTTACTAATTGATTCCATGCTACTATGTATAATTCATATATTTGAAAACTTTTTAAATCAAAATATCTATTAATTGCCTTAATAATTAAAATAATTGTTAGTCAATCAATATTCAATAGTACTAAAAGTATTATTTGAATTTTTATACAAAAGATATAATATTATTAAATCGAAATAATTAAAAATAATGTGTCCACATTACAAAAGATTTTATAATAGTAATTTTTATTGCATAATAGAATTTGGCAATTATTAAACATTGTTTACAATTATTAAACATTGTTTATGGTAATTATTGTATGACATTTAATACTAAAATTATTAGGTAGAATTTTTATAATTAAGGTATAATATTCTTAAGGTACAATATTGCTTGTATATGGTTTACCCGTATTAAACATCATTATATTAAATTAATATATAATTCTTTTAATATAATATATTATTAAATCTAAACATATGATTAATATTTATTCAATATTATTACGGAAGTATTAGAATTATAAATTTTACTCCGTATTAAATTTTAAATGGCTTAGCATATCGAAGCAAACATGGTAAGTCAATAACATTATTTTACATTAGTAAAGTGATTTTATATCAAGGAATGTCAGATGAAGAATAAAATCAAAATAATACTCTATTGAAAAAAAGCCACAGTACTTAATCATTTTTTTTCCTAAAAAAAAAAATTTAAATGGCAAGAAAAACGTCTTGAAGGGAGAGACAAACTACTCTCTTATTACAAAAAATGTACACTTTAAAAACGGAGAAATTGAATCGAAACAAAGTCCAATGCTTTGATATATTGACAACTAAAAAATGCTTTTAATTTCATTTTGGTTTTTATTGTATTCTTAGTATGCTTCCCTCTGTAAGTCTATATCTATTTACATATACACATAATTCGTCCTTCGATCACAAAACTTTATCATCTTGATGAGCAAGGAACTCTATTGCTTCCCGATCAATCTTTCTAGATCCGTATCTTCTCCACAAAAATAGACAAACAAAAAATATATATATCAACATTTTTTCTTATGAACCACTTTTGTTGTTTAAAAACCATAAAATACAAAAAAATAAAAACAAAACAAAACCCAAAAAAGAAGAAAAAATAAAAGAAACTAAGATGATGAAAACCTCACCAATGCAAATCACGTATCAACCTCAACTGCGGAAGATTACAGGATGATTAGAAGTCTATTGCTTCCCGATCAATCTTTCTAGATCCGTATCTTCTCCACAAAAATAGACCAAAAAAAAAAGAATATATCAACATTTTTTCTTACGAATCACTTTTGTTGTTTAAAAATCAGAAAATACAAAAAAATAAAAACAGAACAAAACCCAAAAGAAGAAAAAATAAAAGAAACTAAGAATGAAAACATCACCCGTGCAAATCACGTATCAACCTCAACTGTGGAAGATCACAGGATGATTAGCAAATATCAATGAAATAATTAACCTTAGTTGGGGTTGTGTATGGTCATATAAGGTGTATTTATACACAATGGATGAGATCAAAAGGGTTTAGTATTGAAATTATAAAATGGTAAGAGATCTCAAGAAAGGTAAAATCTTTAATATTATTGAAATGCCATATTTGTCTAAATATTTGATATTACAAAAATGGCTCTAAGTTTTGGGGGGAAAACTTGGCTAGGAGGATTTTACTTTTATATATATATATATATATATATATATATAGACATATAGATATATAGATATATAGATGTATCATAGTCACACCTGTTTGTCAATCCCATTAAAAGCAGTATGTTATATTTAGCATTATTCTACGGACTATTTATTAAGAAAAGACTAAAGAGCATGATTAAAAAAAATAATAAAAAAAAATTTAAAAACGATCAGGGTTGTTTAACAAAGTGAAAATTTTGGAGAATTTTTCTGAAAAAAAAAAAAAAAAAAAAGAAAGAAAGAAAATTGGAGGGTTGAAGAATTGGACAATCTTGTTTACTAAACTCAAATTTTGAATTTTCCCCTTATCTCCAATCTTCCATTTTTCTAACATTTTGGAGAAGTGAAATCAGCGTTCTCCAAATGGAAAACTGAAAATATATGCGGGTGAACACTGCTAATTGTCTAAGAGAGGTCAACGATTTAAAATATTATTAAAAATTTTGTTGTAGAAAAATATATATATACATTGAACACATATGGCACTTTGGACACCAACATCAAAACCAAAGATGAATCGTGGTCGAAATGACTCAATATAATGGTGATCTAAAATGTCATGTGCGTTTGTTCACATGACATGATGTTATTTAAGTACGCTTAGGATGAGAGGAAAGTACAAATGATTCTTTTCGATGTAATTACAAAACTCAATATTTGTATTTTGTGGTTAATAATGAGGTTTGCGTATTTTGTTTTGTAATCAAATTGTGTAGTGAAATAATTGAAATAGTTGTAATTTATTTAGTAATATATTTTTATTAACTTTTGGTACTTTTTACACTAGTGTATTGATTTATTTTTTATTTTTTAAAAAAATTAAATTAAATTTGTAAAATGAAATCAGAAAATTGGAGACATAAAAAATGAAAATTAAGAAACGGGAGAACTATTAACTACAGTTTCTAAGGGGTTCAAACCCACAACCTCAAGCATAACAACATAAGTTCCAAACCACCAAGCTACCATAAATATTTTGTATAAGAAGGTAGGACTGTCTAATTAAGGTAGGACGGTCTAATTATCGTGTAGAGATGGTTGACATCCAGGTAGTAGGGGGACACGTGTACGGTTGAAATCGAAGGCAAGTCAATGCCATACATTTGTCAAGCATTCGAAAGGGCCTCTACACTATATTAGGCGCCCTCCCCTCCCCTTAAAAATGATCCCTTAGCTCACTTAATCCCCCCGGTCTAGTGGTATAGGTTCCTAATTTTCAACCCATACACCAGGGTTCGATTCTTAGTAGCTACAATATTATTCTTAGTCCATTCATTGGGCTATAACTTATATCTTTGGCCCACTATTTTAGGCCAGTATCTCATGCTTTGTAGTACCTTTTGGGCCTAGCGGTCCGAGCAATAATACAATTTTCCTATTCTTGTTATGTACTTCTATACATGGTGTATGGTAGATCGGGTCCTAACAAAATCGTCAACGTTAAATGTTAAATAAGTGACAATATTAATAGTTATGATAAAATAAAATATAACAAATATTTTTATTTGAATTTAAATAATTTGAGGGAATTTTCTATAGTTGCAGCTACAATGCAACATGCTCACATTTTTAGTGTTTTTTACACCTACACATTCTCTGTGTGTGTATATATGAGTGACCAGAGAAATATCATCGTTACCGTCTCAAATAAAAAAAGGCCTATAAGCTACATTTTTTGTTGACCGAAATAATTCTTAACATGGCCTAAACTACGTTTTTTTTAGGTACTATAAGTTGGCAAGATAATTAAATTCGTACTAAAATAGGAAATCCCATATACTTAATAATGTACATAAAAAGAAAAAGAAAAAGAAAAAGAAAAGAAAACGACAAAAAAATAAATAAATAAAAGAAAAGAAAAAAAAAATGCTTTCATTACCAAACCAAGATTTATCAGTGTTCTCCAAATATTCCCCATCTTGAACGCTATATATTAATTTGATCTAATTAAAGTGTTCTACTTTTTGCCGGATGAATCCGAACTGCTGCCGTCTTCCGAACCAGATCGTTCGTCCTCATCGTCTTCGTACTCTTCCTCGTCCTCATCCTCGTGATCGTCATCGTCATTGTCCGGCTCGTTTTTGTTTGCATGGCCCGACGGAGCGTCTGGAATAGCGGCCGGAACTGGATCTTCCTTAGGAGCCACTTGCAGGAAACTGAGGGCGGCTAGAACATCGCCGATCAGTGGTCGAACCGATGGTTCATCTTGGAGGCACATGGCGGCAACCCCAACTGCTTGGTTCAAGCTCCTCACCGGAAAGTTATCCTTCAGGAGTGGATCTGCCATTTCCGGGAACCTCTTTGGATCCCTGAATATGGGTTGTGCCTGTTCAACACAATCCAAATGGTAGACACATTATCATTAGTTTTTTTTTTTTTTTTTTACAACGAGGAAACCTGCCGCCACAAGTGGTAAATCCTGTCTTATGACCCTGTCACAGGGAAGTAAATTAACTTGACAGGCTCAAATCAAGAAGGCCAATAGGTTGTTCTCACTCAGAGTTGAATTTGTAACTGGTTACTAAGCTAACACTAAGATTTGACCCAAATAAAATAAGCTGTGCTCTCATTGAGAGTTGAACTTGTAACTTATAGTTACAAAGCCAACACCAAGGCTGGTTCACGGATGCTAATAGACTGCTCTCAGTAAGAGTTGAGCCTTGTGGTTACTAAATCAACATCTTATCAACTTGATTGTGTTTGTTTCTTTTGTTGTAAGTGCTTTTGTAGTAAAGTGTTTTAATTGCTTCTTACCCAAGTAACTAAATTTTGTTGGGATGGCGGTCTTGAAGTGTCCACAGCACGGCGGCCTGTTATGAGCTCAAGTAGAATAACTCCGAAACTATAAACATCTGACTTGAACGTGAGTTCGCCCGTCCTTTCATACTCGGGTGCCGAATAGCCGCTTCCCATAACTCTGGGTGTCAACATTTGCATGTTACTTCCTCCTCCACCGCTGGTGAGCTTAGCAAGACCATAATCAAACAACTTAGGATTGTAATCTTCATCCACTAAAACGTTGGAGGATTTGAGGTCACGGTAGATGATGGGGGGATTGGCCTTCTCGTGCAGGTATTCCAGGCCTTGGGCTGCGCCTGAAGCTATTTTCATTCTGGTGTTCCAATCCAAGGGTTTTTTGTCCTTTGGAAGGTCAAGGAGATGGTCTTCAAGACTGCCCATGGCCATGTATTCATACACCAAAAGCCTTTGTTCTCCATCAGCACAGTACCCGATAAGATCCACTATGTTAGGGTGGCGAAGTAGAGTCAGCACTAGAACCTCGACGGAGAACTCCTTGCTCGCTTGTGTTCCATTCCTGTCTAGTTGTTTCACAGCCACCACCTATTCACAATGTCAAAATATATATATAAAAAAGATCATCTCGCAATATTCAACCGACCAGGTGAGAGAGGCGTGAAATATATTGATTTTGTAGTGAACACTAGTGTTATTGATACGAAAACTTTAGAATAGAATAAGTGACGTGACACTCTCCCCGAAGATGTGAAAATCAATGAACAACTAATTAACCTAAGCTACTAAATTAGCCTCATCCACTAATGAGACGAAAATCAGTGCCACTAAAATTCGATTAGATTAGCCTCATTGACTTAGAGACACAAACATGTGGGATTTTAAAATTGAATTTGAATGTAAATCATTTGGCCAGTCTCCTATCACATCACTTAGTGTGTTGAGTGTTGAGACGGGGGATTAATCTTCGGACTATCGGCCGGATGATACTTTTGGGCAATTGCAGCTAAGCTAGCTAGAAAAAGGGGGGCCAGGCAGTAGAAGATAAATTACCTGACCATCGTGAAGAGTTGCCTTGAACACTTTTCCATAGCCACCTTCGCTAATTAGGGATTCTTGCCGGAAGTTCTTTGCTGCAGAGGCAAGCTCGCGGAAATTGAAGGTTCTGGCGTTAGAGTTTCCATTTTCTGCTGCTGCATTATCTTCGGCTGCGGCGTTGGCAGCTGCTGTTGACGTGCTACAAGCTGTCGGAGGCCCAGCGCGGCCAAAATTAATCAACATAACTAACTAACAACCAAAACGATCGATCTGAATTGAAAGCGTATGTATGTATGTATCTACACTACACATACCTGCGGCGGCGGCAGACGGCGGTGTAGAGGGTTCAGGTGCGTTTACTGGTTGAGCTACCGGCAGCTTATCTATCTGCTCCTTGCTGAGGTTGTTGTCTTCCTCCTCTGGTTTCTTCTGAAAACATGGGCAACTCATTTCTCAATCCCTAAATTTAACTTCCACCGATCCGATCCGATCCGATCCAAACCAATCCAATTCAATCAGGAATAAGGAAAAATCAAAATTATCTGCGCGCTGAATATTGGATTCTCAGAAATTCGTGGATCCACCACCACCACCACCACCACCGGATTCCACAGCTTCAATCCGACGTCGTTCCGATCACCGTTTGACATCAAATCACAAACCCTAATAAAAAGCACAGATGAGATGGATGAGATGAGATGAGATCTCCGATGGAGTAAAAACTAGAAGCAAGCGCGCATGCATGCATTATATTGCATATATACACGAAGCGGCTGAATTCATCGTCTTTGTCGCACGCAATTGCAAGGTCAACATACAGAAGCCTCGCCTCCCGCATGTGCGCATCACATAGTTTTACAAATTTGAAACAAACGCAGCGAGCGAGCTTAGCCGGAAATAATGAAATCGGATAGGAGATTATCTGATCGATCGATCGATCGATATCCAGGCCAAAGGAATTGAAGGAGGTAGAAGGAGAAGAAGATGGAATTGAAGATGAGAGAGATGAAAGTGGCGGGGGGAGGTGAGCTTGAATTGATCAATTGGGGTCCTCCAATTCCAGGAGAATGAAGGACCCAAATGGGGAGGTGGTGCGGCAAGAGATAATGGAGTATGTATGCAGTAATGGAGGGTACGTAACAAATCTCATGATGTGATAGAATTGAAGAAGGCCGGAGATCATTCAGAAATGCCATGCTTTTTTGCCTATCAATTTCTCATCGTCCGCACAATAATGGGGGCCTTTCATTTCAATGGTACGCTTGCTTTTACCATTTCCTATCCCTTTTTTACTTTTTATATTCGTAAGGAAATAAATTGTGCATCTTAAGAGTTGATTACTTGATTCATACACGATACACTTTAAGTTGGAAAGTGATGTATCAACGAAGGAAAATAGTACACCCAATAAAAAAATAAACTTACACAGTATTTTTTTTTCATGGTTTTGACTAGATTAATGACTAAGATTTCACCTCATTTTTAACTTAAAGCTCCTTTGCATTATTTGATCTATAAGAGATCGGAGAGTACAATATATCAATTTTTTGTCTCACTCCGAAGAACTAAAATTCATTTTAACTCGACTCAAATTAAAAATAGACATCACATATATTTATACCACAATATCACTATGAATACAAAATATGTTGCATAATTGGTGACCGGAGACAACATCTATCTTTGTTCTAATCTTGCCATGAATCTCAAGCCAAGATACATCGAATAGTTCACCTTCAGAGAACCTGATTCGAGATAAGATAAAATCATGTCTGGATAGCAGAAAGGGAAGAACCAAATTCAAAAGCAACACCTCTGGGAATCTGCGATATAAGATAAAGAATCTATTTTCAATCGTGGTTACCGTTATTCGGAAAGCCTGTAAAGCATATTTTTAAATATTTTATTTAAATTATTTTATTATGGTACATTTTAGTATTCAATATTGTGATGGATTCCATATCAAATAGTTCGATCTGTTCATATATGCTTATTAAGAAAAAGATGCTGCACAAAATTTAGGGGCATTTTTCTCTTCAATATAAAATGGAATCTTAAAATGGTAAGGAATTGAAGCAGACACTAATAAAATGAATAAGGCTATGAGTACAGAAGGCAATGAAGCTATGAATAGCTATAGATTTTCCCATTGGACAAGTTTTTCAAAATGGATTTTTCTATGTTCGAGAAAGAATTAAGATTTGATACAATGCAACCAGTGCATCAAATATTAATTCTCTTCATATACAAACAAATTCTGATCTGAGTTGCTAGTGAGTGATCATTTGGACCATTTTGGTCTGATCTCAATCCCTAACACAATGATACCACTCTTCCAATGCCCTCCCTTCACTTCCTTCAAACTAATGTCTATGCACTCATCTTCTTCTTCACCATCTCTGACGAAAATTTCTCCTAGTTCAACTTCCATCCATGCATCATCTCTCTTCTTTGGACATTCACCATTGTTCTCTGGAGCTGCTGCATTCGCGTTCTGTAGTGTCCGGTTAAGGAATGGCCCTATTCGCAATGCCCTCCTCCGGGGTAACATCCTTCCTTTGGGATCCAGATAGGGATCCAGATAAACAGTCCGGGTGGTAGCCTCCCGCTCACCGATCCTAACTGAAACCTCGACCGGTTGGGATTCAAAACCGGTGATGCCTGGTCTCGCTGTGAACACAAGGTAAGCTGCGTAGTTGGTGTCTGGAGACAGCATCTTTGTATTGATCTTGCCGTGAATCTCGAACCAACATACATCAAGTAGCTCCACAGCATCAGAGAAGCTGGTTTAAGAAAGATAAAACCATGTCAAGAAATGAACCAAATGCAAAACCAAAAGAGTCTCTTCTCAATCGTGATAACCTTGATTCCGAAGCATGAATCCATTTCCAATATCGGGGATCGTTGCCCCAAACAATTTGCAGTGACTTTGCACCTAACATGTAGCATTTCTTCCCACTCCCTTTCTCCAGTGAAAAACTCTGTTTAACCAACAAACAGTGAATTTAATAAAGAATACAAGATAGAAGACACAATAAGTAAATTTGCATTCCTTCTCAAATGATCATCGAAGAACTGATATCCTATTGAATCTATATAAGAATATAACAAGGACAAAAAATAAAAAAATAAAAAAAAAATATTGTTTGGTGATTTGAAGATTATATATCCTGCATAAATGTATATGGTGTGCTACATTTCTCACAGAGGAATTTGATTTCGAATCATCAGAATCTGCAACGAGAAACCTAACCCTAACCCTAACCCTAATAAATTAATCACGGCAAATCGAGGCATATAAACCAGGGAATTATCAAAATTACCTTGGTGCCGTCATCGATAATGATGTGATGGTCGCAGAGGTAGAAGTAGAGGTCCTTCTTGGAGGCGAGAGCGAGCAAATCGGCGCTGTTGACGGCACGGGAAACAAGATCGCGGTGATCAAGCGGCAAAAACCGCTCCCAGACGGCGTCGAATTGTGCCGCGGAACGGAAGTTTGATGCTACCAGCATAAGACGGCAGGCATCCCTAGGGGTCGTCAGCGACAGCGCGGCGGCTATGCAATCCTCCGGCAGACTGTAGATATCCGCACCAATAATGCTGTCCACCGCCATGGCTGAATCTCAGTTTAGTTCTGCCTGTGAAATGTGAATTTCCGTTCTTAATGTATGAATGTACGGTACAACTAACCGAGGCTATTCATGGAGTATTTATACTGGGGAGAGTGGCGGTTCCGTGGGCGAAAATGTCAATTAGGTTTTATTTTTATTTTCATTTTCATTTCTTAATCCTGTTGTTTTCGTTCGTGCAATACACCTTTTTTTGGAAAAAAATAATAATAATAAAAAACGGACAAAGATTCCCACACCACGGGAAAGTTTTTTGCTTACACCATAAGCAAGAGTCTTGGACTTATCCAAGTAGCTATCGGATTCATGTATTATAGTGTTTTATTTAATTTAGTTATTGTATTTTATTTTTTTGAATATTATTGATTAGGGTTTAAATTTGTGACTTTTCATTTAGGAGAGTTAGAATCATATTGCTCTCATTACAAGGTTTTTGGTCATTGTATATTTATTTTGTTTAATTTAATTTATGTATTTTAAAAAGTAGTGTGTAATTAAGGATAATAGTCAACGTGTTAATATTATTGTTAACTTAACATTGTAATATTTAAATTCTAACTCATATATTATTTTATAAAGGGAAAATGACACTTTTTCCTCCTGTGTTATATGCTTATAGCACTTTTTCTCCCTGAGTTATTCATGCATTCACATTTGCCCCCTCAATTATTATAGAAGTGGCGGTTTTTCCCCCTGATAATATTAAATGGACATTTCTACCCTTAAAACAAATATTTTATTTATTTCTCTTCTTCACCAAATTATTGCTTATACGTAGGGATGACCACGGTTCGGTTCGAACTGAACCAAACACTATAGCAATCAAATTAAAAAATTTCGGTTATGATTCATAACATAACCCAATATTTGGGTTTCCGTTTATTAAAATCGTGAACTGGAAAAAAATGGATCCTAAACCGTGAACCGGAGGTTCAAATCGGAACAACTACTAGCAATAGCTTAAATTAGAATTATAATATTTGCAAATAGTGCATGTTTTTTTTCCGCATTTATATTGACTCTCACATATAAGTATATATAATCGCGATTTGAGTTTTATTTTGAACCGTCGGTTCACGATTTTGGATCCAATTTGAACGGTTGGTTCAAACTTTCTTTTAAATTTTTTTTTATTATTTTTAAAATATTCTAAATTTAACACTTAATGTATTTTATTTTTTCAAATCGTGGTTATAATTTGTTGGAGAAGAAAAATAAATGAAATATTTATTTTAAGGGTAAATATGTCCATTTAATATATCAGGGGGAAAAACTGCCACTTAAATAATTTAGGGGGGAAAAGTGCTATAAGTATATAACAAAGGGGGAAAAAGTGTCATTTTCCCTTTTATAAATATTGAAAATTAAATTTTTTTACCACCAATATATTACATAATTAATATGCCCCAAAAATATATTAACTACAATCACATTCATATTAACTAACATCTTATATGTCCGCAGGGAACATATTCTATATCTACCATTAACAATTTATGTGTATGTCGTTATTATATTTTGTGTCTATAATTACCAGATTAATTATATGCCTTCAATTTGTTTACGGGTATAAAAGTTATTAATAGTAGGTATAGAATATGTTAATCAAACCTTGTTAATTAAACCAAATACATAAAATTATACCAATGAACATTTATTTATAATCTAAGAATAAATAGAAAAAATAGAAAAAAAGAATAAATAGAAAAAAAAAAAGAATAAATAGAAAAAAAAAAAAAAAAGAGTTAGTTTTTCTTTTGTATTCAATTAGTGCAAATCACGTGCGATCAAGCAAGGGGACTTAGGCATTAAGTATTTAAGCCTAAATTAATGGTGAGGTGCAACGACGGATGGGAGATGAAGCTTAGTCGTTAAGACTAAATTGGCACTGACCTGTCACATGCCGACATGCGTATATATTCTTAGGAGTAATTCTAAGTGTATTCTTATCTTATTATATATTCTTATTTCATATTCTTTATACTGTGGCATGTTTTGATTGTTTAATATAAGGTAGAGTCATAATTTTTATCTATTTTCTTTCTTCAATAAAATTTAAATACTTAGTGTGAACAAAAATTGAGAGTATGTTTTTAGAGTTCAAGTAATATTTTTGTATTCTTATTAGCCTTACAACAAAATTGGCGCTAACATGCCACGTGTGTGTGTATGTCTGTATATCAGTATATGTGTGTCTAAGTTCACAATCACTATACGAAAATATGTATATATTTCTGTATAATAGTTCAAAAATCACACATGAAAGATGAATCATATAAAAAAATATTAACCAAGCCCATGTGGTCTAATGGTACCCGGGTTGGACTTCCATTGGTTACCTCCTTAGCCTTAATCAATATCCTTGGCTACTAAGATTATTCTCTATGATCTTCCTCCAATGGATTCCCCTAAGTTTGGTGGTGGGGAATTTCTTTGCTAGGTTTCCTCGGGAAATATCTCGCGTGGTAAAATTAATTGTGGTGGGGTTTCTAAATGCTTTCTAATTCCCTATATATATATAGATTCAGGAGTCCTAACTAGAATCTGAAACCAATGGTTGAACCAACTCAGGATATATAGCAAGATTCTGAGCCGATGCAGACTGAACCAATTTCCTGGTGGAATCTTGGCATTATCGAAGGAGAAAACATTCTTGAAGCTTACAACAATTATATAAGCTGCAACATCACTGGGAAATATGAAGACCTCGTGAAAGAAAATCTTATCCAAAAGTTCAGAACCTTGATCAACCGAGATATTGACATGGATAGGATGCTCAAAGAACAAAAGGAAAGAGATGACAAATAACGAAAGGAGTATCAGTGAAACGCGTTATTGGTTCTTTGTGTTTCAGTATGTTGAGAAAGAGCCAGTAGCATTCAAAAAAATATAAAAAAATATTATATGTGATAGACTCGACCAAAATTAAATTTATAACCTTCAAATACAAAAATTATGTTGTATTCACTTATTCACTCTTTTGAGATACATGCGTATATATTTTGTCTTTTACTTTTGGCGGGTGGTGGGTAAAAACAAGGTCAAACCTTCTTGAAAGTCAGAAGCATTTACTTATCATTTTTTTTTGAGAACTTTTTTTTTAAATGACTATAAATGAAATTTGAAAAGGCCAGAAAATGACATATGATGTTACACATAATCATCATCCACACGCCTACAAGTTTACGTTTACATATTATTACTCCGCACTCAGAGGCGGCAAGAGTTGACAAAATATATACGGAGTACTTTTTTCATTTAATTTTGAAATTTGTGAGTCAAAGGCAACTAGATATTTTCAGGAAAGCATCAAAATTGTAATGGTTAAAATACAATCATCATTGTGTGGATCATGTTCCACAAAGTTTACTTTTAGTATATTAAAAATAAAGGAAAAATGACACTTTTTACCCTTAAGTTATATACTTATAGCATTTTTTTCCCCTCAATTATTTAGGTAAGCACATTAGCCCCCTCAATTATTTTAAAAGTGGCGTTTTCCCCCCCTGATATATTAAATTGACATTTATACCCTTAAAGTAAACATTTTATTTATTTTACTACTCCAACAAATTATTGCATATACGTAGGGATCACCACGGTTCGGTTTGAATTGAATCGGATACTAAAGCAATCGAATTAATAGTTTCCGGTTATAATTCAGATCTAGAACTCAATATTTAAATGTCAATTTATTAAAATTATGTATCAAAAAAATTGAATCTTGAACCGTGAACCGACGATTTCGGATCCGATTCGCGATTTTGAACCGTTTTTATTTTAAAATTTTATTTTTTATTTTAAAATAGTCTAAATTCAACAATAAATGTATTTTATTTTTTCAGTTCGGAACATGAACCGTCCGTTCCGGTTTACGATTTTAATAAACTCTAAATATCGAATTTCGATTCTAAATTGTAATTGGAATATTTCAGTTTGGTTGCTATAGTGTTTGTTTGGTTTGAACCAAATTATGTTCATAATTTGTTGGAGAAAAAAAAAATTAAATATTTAGTTTAAGGGTAAATATGTCCATTTAACATTTCAGAGGAAAAAACAGCCACTTCAATAATTTAGGGGGAAAAATACTATAGGTATATAACTCAGGGGGAAAAAGTGCCATTTTCCCAAAAATAAATTATGTATTTAAGAAAAGTATATTATTTGAGCACTAAAAGTACACAAAAGATGTACTTCTAATATATTATTACAAATATACTTTTTGTTATGGTTTACATAGTATTGTGTGAACCATAGTCCACACAATAATTTGCCATGGACCCGGACCGGGTCCACCTTGCAAGGTGAGCTTACATCCAAAACGGCGTCGTTTTGCTTCAAAATGATGCCGCCTGAATTTTTTAAAAAAATTACTTTCTTTCTTATCGTTTGTCTTCAGAATTCACAAAAAAATATCATTGGTTCAGGAAACATGTCACGACACCATTATTTCAGACAAGCGCAAAGTGGACCTAGGTCAACAACATAATTTGCTTGTCTTATTTGAACCATTAAGTATTTTAATGGACTATCATAATAGAACTCATGTTCTCTCTCTCTCTCTCTCTCTCTCTCTCTCTCTCTCTCTCTCACACACACACACACACATATATATATATATATATATATATATATATATATATACACACACACACACACACACATATATTGCATTCAAGTGAACTATTTCTTAAGTGAGAATTGCGAATGTATACATAATGCACATATCTTTCTATATGAATGCACACACTTTAATATACCAGACACACAATGCACACAATCTATGATCGAATCATGTAATAAATTGTGTGCATTTATATGGTTCTCACGTTTTTACCTAAAAATTAATTTTCATTTAATCATATATATATATATATATATATATATATATATATATATATAAAATTTTGGAGTAAAAATGAAATTAGATGAAAGAAAATTGAATTTTACTTATCATCCGTTAAGAAGTCCAGAAAATAATTTTCAAAAAAAAAAAACATATTCATTTTTATGATTTCTAATTTAAAGTCAAATCTTCCCATTAACAAGTTTAT